AGACATTGCTCCAAAAATTCCTGCAGTGTAAAAGCAGCAGTGCAGACTGAGCACTGTATTTCAGAAGGCTAGAAATCTGCAGGAACAATGGCACCCACCTAAACAAAAGCTACTGTATGAGCAAAAGGTATGCTACAAAAGAGCCTTAAATTCTAGTTAGCTTCTTCCTTCCTCCATTTGCAAAACATTTTTTCCTAGAAAATTGTGTGGCATCAAGTCTAGAAAAAAAATAAAGCAGGGGTTTTTTATGCTCAGCACAAAAAAGGACAACTTTAGAGGTTTTTGCTTTTACACCAAAACTATTGGTTCAGCTGGACATTTTGTGCCCTTTTACATTTTTCATCCCTAGTACAGCAAGCCTGCTCAAGTCTGCTTGGTGTTTACCTAACTGCAACAAGGTGCGTTTTTTTTTAATTTCCAGTACAATAACCAGTTGCAAGACCAGCAGCACAGAAAGACAAATGCCAATCCATAAACAATAATTCAGTATACCCACCACCACTGCAACCTGAAATCTGTGTACACATCTGTGCACCAGGGCTGCTGCTGTTCAGATCTTCACCAGAACTTATTTTCTGCAATGACTTTCATTTACCAAAGTGACAGGTGACCCCCAAGTCATGAAGGCAGTTTCTTACATTTCTTAAAGCTGACAAGACAAGAAACTCCAAGAAAAAGTGTGTACAATTCTAAAGGAAAACTTCAAAGTCTTACAAAGAAAACACTTCCTGAAGAAGAGAGGAATTTCTCCAAGGTTTAAAATGACTTACGTACCTTCCCTTGTGCCAAGCTTATTCTGGCAATATTTTTTTCTCTGTATGGATCCTCAAAATTAAAGATGTTCTGACTTAAGATCTTAAATAAGCTATGCATTAACATGCATGCCCAAATCTTCAGAAATTCTGCCCTGAATGTTGTAATAAACATTAACAAATCCCACCATAAATATGTTATTGACAGGCAATTAAAAAAATACACCATGTTCTTGTAACAAAAAGATATTTACAGTAAAGGCAGCGGTAAACTGTACACCGTATGTTTCCCAGTCCAGAGAGTTTGCCTGGTTATTCTGCAGGGATATGATAAAGAGAAAAAAAAAATCCAGGATGCTTAGCCATCCTATCCCAAACTGATATTAAAATAATGTGTAACTGATTTTATTCGTGTTGTAGCTGTCTGAATCCATGTGAGAGGCACTCAAAATGCAGGTTTATTTTGTCTCATTGATGAAATAATGAATACTAACCATAAAAATTTCTACCTTTCACCACTGCAGGACCTACTCCAAGTTGAGAGGCAGTGCACTTCACCAATCCTTCGTTTTCACAGCCTCCAAAAAGAAAATGTTGAAGTTCCAAGTGTAAGAGCTTTACTAGATCAGAATCTCAGCATACTTTCTGAAAAATTAAGTCACAGTAAGAAAAGGTTCATCACACCCCTAAAAGTAGGAAGAAGCATTACACATCACCAGCAACTGTCTTACCTTCTTACAGCCAAAAGGAAGGAATGGGAAATAATGCAAATACACATATGCAATTGGCACAACTCAGAAACCTGCAGCATGGATGAGGTGGCCAGCTGAGCAACAAAACCCCTCGCTTTTCTTCTATTTCCCCAACATATCAGGAAGAGGATGGCTCTATCTTGTGAAAACATGCCAGAGAAGAACAAGTCTGAGCAACCTCACCATGGCAAGATTTCTAATGACAGCAGAGCAGGACCACTGGCAATCTGTTATTTGGAGATCAACATCACTATATGTAGTCATAATGCCACATGAACCAAGTTTTAACAGCATATGTTCAGAAAGATTCATAAAGAGTATGGAAAGTTGGCCTATTAAGTGTTTTGTAATAGGGCTGCATCTTATAAAGCACAGAAGTAAGAATATTTTGCAACCATATTACTTAAAACTGAGAACAAACCTCTTCTGGAAATGTAAATACTCAAGTTGGTTAAATCAAGACAATCACAGATAGACATTTTTTCCCAAATCTTTGGCTGTATTGCAATGGTTGTTTCAATTTGTCATCTCCAACTAAACATTTCCTATCCATGGATTAACAATATATTTACTGACTTGTGTCTTTTAACAGTATTTATCCAACATAACAAAATAAACTGCAATTTGTTATACTTTTTTTTTTTAACAAAACATTTTATAAATATTTTTACAAAATGTATACAAAGCAATTTCAAGTGAGACATACTTTACAAATGAAGGTATTTAAGCAAATAAAAGTCCATACCACACTGACAATAAGTGACACATCCTCTTTAAGTGAAGTCAGTCTGTAAGGCCTCCCTAATCTAACAGATAAATTATACTAAAATCTTCAAAACAAACATAGTTTTCTTAATTGCCAGTTTCAAATTTGTTTTAATATTAGGCAGTATTAAATAACATTGAAATCACAATGCTGATCCAGCAAAATAATGAAAACATGTTTGAAGTCATGCACATCCACAATACTTTGCTGGACTTACGCCCATATGATTAATAAATTCATACTTTTTGTTTTTAAGTACAACAAAAATACAATTCTTTCATTTACTGCTTCACCACGTACCAGAATTCCTTTAGAACTGAATTCAAAGGAGTGAACAACAGAACATTAACAATCTAAGATTAATCTTGCTTGGCTTGTTCAATGGGTTCCTCTCGTAAGTAGTTCAGAGAAATGCATCAACCATGATTCCATTTTGCAATTTGACTTTTTTTTATATGCCATTGTCCCCCATCCCCAAATGGGATCCAACAGAAGACACACAACCTGACATTTCAATTATGTATTTGCTGTATGAGAGGCTGGAAACTCCACACCCATTTTGAGGTGGTATAAAAAAGCAAGTAGGTCAATGAATGTGCAACTTGTACTTTTTTTTTCTCTATGAAGGAAAAAATTTAACTAGTCAACTTACACCTGTGTAACTTACTGTTTTCCTTCCTAGAGAGTTTACAATGGTTAAATTTCAAAAATGATAAAATAAAATACACATCAGGATACACAGCCATGAGCATATTATTAAATCTAAAAAGGCAATAGGTGAAGACTATATTGTCAGTTTTGCCAATAAGAAAACAACTAACCACCTGAGAGTCTATTCTATGGACATCTAACTAAAAATTTAAAACTGGCAATACTTATTATTACCTTGAATATTTTATACAACACTTAGGAATGTTGCATTTTTTACAAACATGTACTTTAAAATTGGCACAATTTTTTTAAATGGCAATTAGTAATGTACAAAACCAGTTACTTCCATTCACGTTGAAGGGGAAATGAATTTTAAGTAAGTTCATCTTTCTCACACTGCTTTCTAGATTTGGTTTCCTTTAGTGATCAGACAGTGGACTGTAGCTCAATACTGAGTTGAACTGTAATCTTCTACTGTCACAAAGATCTAATTCTGCTTTCTTTTGCACTATTCAGTTGGACTGAATTACATGACAGCAAAACCTTTTGTTTTCTTCCCTGGCAATTTGACTGACAACCACAGCTTGTCACAATGAGCCTCTATATCATGAAAATTGTAATCAGCAAGTCTGGAAAATGGCTGGTAATTTTTCTAAGAAACTGTGCAGCAGGTCTGAGGGAGAACATGAGCATACCTTAGAAACCACAAAAGCTATATCCTCCTGAGCAGACGTATGTACTACACGCACGTGAAGAATGTCAGCGCACTTATGTGCACAAAAGCACTCGTGACCAAAGTAAACTAGGTAAAAGCAGCATGGGCAGCAAAAAATAAAAAAAAAGATGTCATAGATTAAAATAAATAAATAAAATAATAAGATTCTATCTTAACAACATGACAGCAAGCCAAATACAAACCATGCAATGGTTTCACTTGGCTCTATAATATGAATTAATAATTACACACTTTTTGATATGTTTAAACAATGGGATTGCTGATCAACTTTGGTCTGTACATATCTTGATAGTAATGACTGCTATGGTGGATGATTTAACATTCTCTGACAGCAAAAAGCAAAAAAAAAAAAATCAAAAATAAACACTGGCCTTTAAATTTAATCAGAATAAGGCTAATGTCCTCTTAAAATATAAGCTACAAATATCATAACAGTTTTCAAATAAAAGTGCTTTTGACACTTGGTCTAAAAAAACAAACAACAAATAAAAAACCCCATTTATATCACTTCAGAAAGACTCAAGGCTGACTACATCCAATTATAAAATGCAAAATCTTTTCCTCAAGAGTTAACATATATATGTATTATATATATAAATTCATGGCTCTATCACAGCCTCATCCTGTACACTTTGCCATTTACTGGCTTCCATTCTACCTTCCTTAGTCAAGAATTTATTACTTCCTAACATGCCACTGTGACTAAGATCATGTAATATCATCCCACAGACTAAAGTTACCCACTACAAATATATCATCAAGTACTAGTTTCTGCTCAGAAAGCAATAGAAAAGCACTTTAAGTTTAAATTATGAAGTCTTGTAAACACACTGATGATATCCTTCCAACTTAAGAATCCTAGAACACAGATTGATTAACAAAGCAAATAATCACTTCTGAATAGAGGTACAGTGGGTTTTCCAGAAAAAATAAAAATTCAATGATTTGTGGAAGAGAAGGGTGGGGGAGAATTGTTGCTTCCATCACTTTTTAAAAACATTTTCTTAATAAATATATCCTTTCAAATGACTGTGATTGTCAGTATATTACCATATTACATAGGGCCTAACCACCTGCAACCTTGTTATGTTGCAGTACTGCAGAATTATTAAAAGCACTATCGTAATAATACTTGAAGGAGTAAGGCCCTAACAGACTGCATTCTAACAAGGATTAACTTTACTTGGATATCTCACTGTAATCACAATGAGTATTGCTCTCAAACACAGAACAGAATCTAGTTTAGAAAGTTTAACCTTAAATGCATGTCAGGCTGTACTTGTGGCGTCATTCACATTTGCTTCTGCTAAGAGAAACGTAACTTGTCCATGGTACTGTAACTATTAACACTCTAAGATACTATTTACAGCTGCTTCTAAAATAGAGTCAGTTTCTACAACACCTTCACTGTGGTCTGGAATAAATTTTTCCAGGCAGTTTTCCTGTGAAGCAATAGGCGAAAAATTAGGAAATTCTAAATTCTAATCCAGCGGAGCCGCTACTTGTCGCCTCATTTTGCGGCTGCCTCCCAGCTTTTTTAAGTTCCAAGATGTTTTTAAATGTAGTTTCTAAACTCTTACTGAGCAGTAAGTCTTGCTGGGGTTCACCAGAGCCTTTCCTGTTATCAGGATGTAAAACCTCGTTCTTTGGAGAGCTCCTCAGAGTTTTGTCTTGGAGGGAATTATTACATATTACCTTTGAGAAAGACTGGACTGTGTTCCTTGATATTTTATTGTGTGTTCCGTGACTGCCTCTTGACACAGTTTTTGACAAGTCTTCCGAACTCGAAGAATTCTCAGTGGACTTGGCAAGATCTTTTCCAGCCATCTTTTCTTCAGAAAGGGCCACGTATTGCCTCTCGGAAGA